ACCTCATTGGCGAACTGCTTCTCGACACCACCGTTGAAGAAGAACGTAACATGAGCGTACTTCTCCGTTTCTGCATACGAGATGGTTGTCACGAGGGATCAGGCGGATGGGCGGTATTCCTTACCAGCGATGTGAGCTTGCTTGAGCCCATGGGTTGCGATCCATTCCGCCAAGACGTTGGTCATTTCCTGCGGCGGGAATGCGACATTGAAGGGGAAATCGGCATTATAGCGTGACATGGTAGTGATGTTCTGTGGTGCTGTACGTATCAGCAGGACGTCAGCATCGAGGTCATGGAGACTCACGAGATTCTTCGGAACTTGCACCTCCATCGGCTTGGGGTCTAAACCGAAAACAGAAACGATTTCCCGCATACGGTCAGAGCGGTAGTTGAAGAAGAACAAGGTGTCGTCGTCTAAAATGGAATAGATGTTATCGGACAAGGCTTCTGGGAGATTGCTTGGATGGATACCTCTGACCCTCCCGTTCTCGCCAACAATGATGGGCTTCAAGAACTCGTCCGTCACGTCTTGCTTGTAGCTCTCCTCGATCTTCTGAACAGCCTCAGAGTGGTCTTTCACCTGCTCGCCAGTGCCTTGGACGAGGCCGTCGACAGCAATCTTGACCCGCTCCCATCGCTTGTCACGGTCCATGGCATAGTAACGACCGACAATCGTAGCGATTTGGCCATAGTTTCCAATGCTCTCGATGAACTTGATAAGATCTCTCGCGTATCCTGCCGAGGAGCGCGGAGCGGTATCGCGTCCGTCGCCAAAGAAGTGGATGTACACCTCCGGAACACCGACTTCCTGGGCGGTTTCGAGCAGGGCATAAAGATGGGTGATGTGCGAGTGTACACCGCCATCAGATACCTGCCGAGTTGGGTGCACATCAAGTCAGTGCGTGTGATCGACGGGTCTCACAGATGACGAAAGTAGGAATCGGGTGCGCACCAAGCCCAGGAAATGCAGCCGCCCATTCCCGCTCTTCGCTCGTTGGCAGGCTTCAACAATTGCGTTCTCCTTGTGAAAACTCCTCTTCTTGATGCTGACGTCGATGCGGACGATGTCTTGCCAGACCACCCTCCCAGCCCCGATGTTGAGATGGCCGACCTCTGAGTTGCCCATGAGGCCATCAGAGAGACCAACGGCCAAGCCATGAGCAGCTAGAGAGGTATGCGAGTGGGTCTTTCCGATTGTATCCATGTTGGTGGTGGAGCCAGCATGGATGGCATTGCCCTTCTCGTTGGCTGAGATACCCCAACCGTCATGAACACTGTCGAGACGTCAGGACCGCGCTCGATCACACAGAATTGCGGATGATGGCTCACATCAAGCAGACCTTGTTCTTTGCCTGGACCATAGCTGGGTGGGAGGAAGGAGGAGAGAGTGGGACAGAGCAGGCGAGCTGGAGGGAAATTTATGTGAGATCTCGAAATCTCGGATCGGTCGGGGTCCGATTACAGGCGAATGAGTTGGAGATAGGGGCTTTCGACGTCACGCAGTCCATGATAAAACAATCTGGTATCCAACCGAGTAGAGACCTACAACAAGGGCTAGCAAAGGACAAGTACAGGAAACAAAGAATGACAATACAACAAAAAGGTGGGTCGCACAATATACGGTAGATGTCGAAACAGAGTTCAGTCCATAACGCTTGAGCGATGCACTCAAGAGTCTTTAGGCCTGTTCTTCGCCCTCCTTCTTTTTGCCCTTGGGTGTCTGCGTGAGCGACTTGTGGATGAACGGAAGCACACCACCTCCAGCAATTGTCGCTTTAACAAGAGTGTCCAGCTCTTCGTCACCGCGGATAGCCAACTGCAGATGTCGGGGGGTGATACGCTTCACTCGCAGATCTTTCGAAGCGTTACCTATCGATTGTTTAGACGTACCAAGGAGAGTAGCGGTACATGAATAAGTCGCCCACTCGCCCAAAGTGCACCGGAAACGCACCTGCGAGCTCAAGGACCTCGGCTGTCAGGTACTCCAGTATAGCTGACGTGTACACGGCGGCCTTGGCTCCTATCCGAACGTTGTGCTGTGTCCGCTGTTTGAGGAACCTATGTATACGACCGACAGGGAACTTTGTGCGCAAGCCGGAAGATACAAACAGAGCATCGTTAGACTAGTATACCCCACCGTTATGTGAGTGAAACGCACCTGAAGGCCAGCCTTTTGTGACCTCGTCTGCATAACCTTGACTTCGGACGGCCTGCTCTTGCCGCCAATGTTGTTCTTGTCTCCAGCCATGATTTTACGCTTGTGGTGCAATCAGAGGGGTTTACAGAGTAGTCGGCGTCTTGGTGCAGCAGCGAAACGTACAAGAGTAAAGTGGCCGGAGGATGTTGCCCCGCAAGAGAAGTGAACGGGATGGTGGTTGAAATCAGTTATAATAAAAACATCCAGGCACTGTTTGCGTCTGTTTACAACTCGTCATTTCTTTCAATCTCTCAACTCCAACAGGTTTTTGTTACGGGAGCTTTGAGGCTTTTTGCAATATGGCTAGGCCTCTTAGCAATGGAACTCTGGCATTAAAGTTCATGCAACGCAAGGCGTTGGCTTCTGATGACAACGCTAGGGTTGAACTAACCAAGGCAAAGGTCGTTGACGAGGCGGAATGGGATATTGGTCGCGAGATCAGGGAGGCCTGGGGACTTGCAAATGAACAAAGGTATGTATGTGTTCATTTTGTTTGTGATAACGGGTTACCCGTGCGTCTGACCCATATCGGTTTCATAGCTCAAGCAGTTCAACGACCCCAACGGTGGTATACGAAGCCTCATACATGCCCTTTCTGAAAGCTTCACCATCCAAGAAAAGGTCGAATCGTGACGATTCTGAAGAACAAGAAATGACGAAATCGGTATCCTGGACTTCTGGCCGATGGAATAATATGCCCAAACCGCCACCTGAAGTACGTCCTTGTACGCAATATCATACAGCCACAACATGACTGTGTTATCTCACCCTGCTTTCTTCTAGATCGAACCCTCTTCGGAGGAAGTCGTGTCTGCGAGTGCTGCCAAGGAAGGGAATGAGGTTATCCGTCGAGATGATCATCCCAAACCATCCGATGCAGGAAAGGGAAAACGAAAGTTGGAACAGGATGAATTCGACATCGATCCTCCACCCGCTAAACCCTCGTCACCTCTCAGTTCCAAGCCGGCACCGTTGGCCTTCATGCGGCCAGCGGGGGTCGACTTGCCGAATAAGCCCACCGGTACGATGGGCGATGGCTTACCCCCCAAGAAGAAGAAAAAGAAGAAGAGCAAGACTACTAAAGATGGAAGCGATTCCCGGGTCGGTCTCGCACCATGAGGCGCTCTTGCTCGTAATTCCCGACTCTACGGAACGTGGTTGCCACGAGTTGTCCCTACACTACTCACTCCATTTGCCATACCTAGTCCATGTTGCAGTATAAACTAGCTCGAGAACCGACGGTCCCTTTACGAAGAACCCGCACCGGAGATGTCCGACATTTCCGAATGGTATAAAGCACTCACACGCGCCGCGAACGCACCGTTCCCAAACTTTTCACCTCCCACCCTCTAAATCACCCCCAAAATGCTTAGACTGTCTGCCACCGCCAAAACTACCCTCAATGCGAGATTCTTCTCGTCCTCTGCTTCCAGACACACCAAGGTTGCAGTGTTGGGTGCAGCTGGTCAGTATCCCAATTATTGCACAGGTTGACACGTCCATGGTAAACTGACGAATATTTCTCTCAATCTAATCTCCGTGAATCACCACTGATTATGTGGCCATCTTCTTGATACCTGGTTTCTAAACAAACGTCATGGGTTACAGGTGGCATCGGCCAACCATTGTCCCTTTTGCTGAAGCAGGAAAAACTCATTTCCTCGCTCAGCCTGTACGATATCCGTGGAGCTCCTGGTGTTGCTGCTGATGTTAGCCACGTCGATACCGCCAGCGAGGTTTGTTCGATCGCTTCTCTTGCAAGGAACCGAGCTAGACGAGAGTCGGTATTCAGGTCAAAGGCTACCCAGCCGACAACATCACCGGTGCTTTGGAGGGTGCTCAAGTCGTCATCATCCCCGCTGGTGTCCCCCGAAAGCCTGGCATGACCCGTGATGACCTCTTCAACACCAACGCCTCCATCGTGCGCGACCTCGCGAAGGAAATTTCCAAGACGGCGCCTAAAGCCCACGTGCTCATCATCTCTAACCCTGTCAACTCGTGCGTGCAGAAAGTTATCTGATTGTCAAATGAGCTAACCCACAGTTGCAGGACTGTTCCCATCGTGGGCACTGTCTTCAAGCAAGCTGGCACCTTCGACCCTCGCCGTCTCTTCGGTATCACCACTCTCGACGTTGTCCGTGCATCCCAATTCACCTCCTCGCTCGTCCCATCCACCACTCCCGAGACCACTGTTGTTCCCGTCGTCGGTGGCCACTCTGGTGTGACGATCGTCCCCCTCCTCTCCCAATCCGTTGTAGGCAAAAACATCAAGCCTGGTTCGGAGGAGTGGAAGGCCCTTGTGCACCGTATCCAATTCGGTGGCGATGAGGTCGTCAAGGCTAAGGATGGCGCTGGATCTGCAACTCTCTCCATGGCATACGCTGCCGCCAAGTTCGCCAACTTGTTGTTGAGGGCGTTGAACGGCGAGAAGGGTCTCGTCTCCCCCACCTTTGTGGAGTCTGAGCTCTACAAGTCCAAGGGCGTCAACTGGTTCTCTTCCAATGTTGAGCTTGGCACGGAGGGTGTTGCGAAGATTCACCCTGTTGGTGCTGTGACCGCTGAGGAGGAGGCTCTCATTGAGGCATGCATTCCCGAGTTGGCTAAGAACATCGCCAAAGGAGAAAACTTTGTCAAGTCTTCATAGACCTGTATTCGGCCGGTGACTAGGCGATATAAGTTGCATCTAATACATCTGCTGTCCTCTATCCTTCATGGGTGTTGTGCGCGCTTTGTACTGCCGCTGTGCCAGTTAGTAGACGCGGAGGGCTATGGAAAAGCAAAAGCACGTTCGAGGAGCAAAAAGGCCTCCACCGTGAGTCGAACACGGGACCACCCCCATTTGCACCTCAATGAGGCGGGTATAACCCGAAGGGGGTATCGTACCACTAGACCATAGAGGCACATTGAACCCTTGGTTGGTCTAGCCCTACTCGGTGTCAAAAGGTCAAGCCAGCGTATTATCCGTGGATGCCATATACCGCAATCCCCCGCGATTCCGACGTTCGGTCGAGAAGCCGAGATGGATGCACCCTTACCCGAACCGAGTGCCATGGATGCCGCGCAGCCGCATGCCTCTAACGTCACCGACTCTACCGCGTTTCGAGGCTCAGCACAACCGTTTGCACAAATCATTCTGCCATTTGCTCACCAGTAGGCTCTGCAAGCTTTGCATCGGCGGTTCCACCCGGCGGCCATGCTGCCGTGCCTTGGTGTCCGATTAGCATGAATATCCATGATTTTTTTCTTCTATAAAAGCCGGAGAGGGGCTGCCACACCCCCTTCTCTTCAGCGATAACCACTCTACTACTCCACACTGTGAGCACATACCTCCTTCTCAGAATATCCAGCTGGGCATCGCCCTGACTGCCCCACAGACCCACTCGCATTCACGCAAGATCAGTGTGCATTCTTAGAATCAACCAGACAGCTACTACCGCATAGTAAGTACTACGCCTGACGGAGGGTAAACAAATTGCTTACTCTTGTCGATTAGCAGACGCATGGATCCAACTGAAGAAGTGATTTCCTGTCCCTTCTGTGGCGAGGGCGCATTCTCCAGAGAGAACGACGCCGAATTCCGCGAGCATCTCCTGACACATTAGTCTACACCCTCTACTAGACCATCTACCTCGTGTATCATATCGCATCGGTTACATTCCTTTTGGGGGGTGCTGGACTCTCGCTGTTGTAGACGAATTCAAGTGCTGACCGTGAGAGGTCTCCGTGTCGGCCAATCAGGTTCATCGCAATCTCAACTGGAACCAATATTTCGCACCCACCATTGCTCTCCAGGACGGCTTCCACAAGATGAGATCTTCGGCCGGTGGGTCCAGCGCCTCCCTTCCTCTGCTTGCACTAAGTTTGCGACGCATTAGCACTTGCCCGGCGGTCGTTGAGAGCCGCAACGTCACCTGCGAACCAGGTCGCTTCTCGCCGTCTCGCAACTGTCGCCGACCCCCCAGTGAGGCACTACGGCGGCCTGAAAGATCAGGACCGTATCTTCACTAACATCTACTGCCGACACGACCATGGTATCAAAGGTGCCGTGGTACGCACTATTCCTATTTTTCCCGAGCGCTGTCGCTGAAGCCCGTCTTCAGTCCCGTGGTGATTGGCACAAGACGAAGGAGATCATCTTAAAAGGAGATTCTTGGATCATCCAACAGGTTAAAGACTCTGGTCTGAGAGGTCGTGGCGGAGCCGGCTTTCCGAGTGGTCTGAAGTGGAGTTTCATGAACAAGCCTGGTTGGGAAAAGGACCCAAGGTGAATATCCCGCCTTTACGTATCATGTACGACTGAGTCGTAATATTTTCTGTTGCAGACCAAGATACCTTGTAGTCAACGCTGATGAGGGCGAACCCGGCACTTGCAAGGACCGCGAAATCATGCGTGGTGACCCGCACAAGCTTGTTGAAGGCTGCCTTGTCGCCGGTCGGGCTATGAACGCGACCGCGGCATACATCTACATCCGCGGTGAATTCTACCAGGAGGCCAACCATGTTCAACAGGCCATCGACGAAGCTTACAAGGCCGGTTACCTGGGCAAGGACGCTTGCGGGTCTGGCTATTCCTTCGATGTCTATCTGCACCGTGGGGCCGGAGCATACATCTGTGGTGAAGAAACTGCCCTCATTGAGTCGTTAGAAGGCAAGCAAGGCAAACCACGGTTGAAGCCGCCGTTCCCTGCCGACGTTGGTTTGTTCGGCTGCCCTACCACCGTCGCCAACGTAGAGACTGTGTCCGTTGCACCAACGATTTGTAGGCGTGGTGCCAGCTGGTTTGCTTCCTTTGGTCGGCCGAGAAACCAAGGGACGAAGCTCTACTGCATCAGCGGACACGTTAATAACCCATGCGTCATCGAGGAAGAGATGAGCATTCCGTTGAAGGATTTGGTGGAGAAACACTGTGGTGGCGTTATCGGTGGATGGGACAACTTGCTTGGTATCGTTCCAGGAGGGAGTTCCGTCCCGATTCTACCCATCAAGAAGTGTGAGGAAGTGCTGTACGTCTACGTTGTTCCTCTCTCCTTCGGTCTACGTGCTTACTGGTTTTCCAGGATGGACTTTGACTCACTCAAAGACGCACAATCTGGTCTTGGGACGGGTGCTGTCATCGTCATGAACAAGAGCACAGATGTTGTTGCTGCTATCGCTCGGTTCTCCAAGGTGCGCTAATTAAATGCATTGGATACATTATGTCTGATAATTGCATTACAGTTCTATAAGCATGAGTCTTGCGGGCAGTGCACTCCATGCAGGGAGGGTACGACCTGGATGATGAACATGATGAACCGCTTCGTTGAGGGCAGGGGGCATGTCCGTGAGATTGATATGCTCTTGGAGTTGACGTGAGTGAGCCTTACATGCACGGAGTGACGACATCCTGACCACGATACCTACTTTCAGTAAGCAGATAGAGGGTCGGACAATCTGCGCTTTGGGCGATGCCGCTGCTTGGCCAATCCAAGGCTTGATGCGTCATTTCCGTACGTCTTTCAAACCTATTCTATGGCACAACTAACACTCTTGGTCTGCTTAGGGCCGGAGGTGGAGAAACGTATTGAACACTTCCGCGCAGAGCATGGCCCCGTGCTATTCGGTGGCAAGTTGCTCAAGGATGTAGATCCTACCCATGCTTTACCCGATAACCTCGGTGGTAATCTACCTGAAATCCAGTCGCCACCACCTGCATAGAGACGTTGATAAAACAATCTCGGCTTGTACGTACTTCGCACTATAGCTTTCACAAATTCCTTGCGTGGTGGGTACCGAGTGACTCGAGACGTCCGAACATGGCTATCCGCATAAGGTGGTCGAGTTGTCCCATTGTTGTCCCGGAACGCTCTATGCCTTAAGGGTTAAGTTCCACCGCTCGACAACGATTTGAACGATGTCCCTCCACTCTGTCATCGCACCTACGCCTATAGCGAGTGAATGTCATGTCACATTTGTGATGGCTTGGAACATCTTGAGCTGCTCACCAATGTCACCGCACGCCAGTCCCTTCCCAATCGGCCCGACGACTTGATACCCGATAACCCCTTTCACGACATTCAGATGCCTTTCTGTCAGGGGGTGGTTATACATCATCGTATTCATCGCCGGGAAGACGTAAGTCGGCGTCGAGGGATCCAAAGCGCGAAGGAGCGATGTCTTTGTTGAAAGTGTTACGCACAGCCAGACGGGTCAGCGAAGTTCACCTTGCGAGAGGACCCAGAAGACTCACGACGACGTTATCACATATCCCTCCCGCAATCTTTGCCAGCGTGTTGGCAGAGCAAGGTGCGATGAGGACGACATCGGCCCATCTCCTAAGCTGTCGTACCGTCAGCAACGACACCCGAGCGAATCAGCCTCGAGACAGCAAACCTCGATATGCAGAATCGGGTCCCCAATCTTGTTCCAAGTCTAGATGATTAACCAGTAACCTTTCACTTGAATGCTTTTGAAGGGTGCAGAGCAGCCACTTACGCTCCACTCATCCTCATCTGTCCAAACACTCACATTGTGGCCTTTATCAGAGAGGGATTGCACGGCTTCCTTGGAGTAGAACACGAGGCTTGATTTGGTAGCTGCAACTTGAACCTGGACACTGGAATACTAGAGAAGATGGGCTATTTGAGGACTAATAATGAGAACCGATATTGACTAAGGTCGCACCTTCAGCAGTTCTGCTACGATAAAAGGAGCCTTGATGGATGCCACGCTACCAGTCGTGATTAACAGCACGTGGAGCGATCCTTCCACCCTGGAGCTAGCAGCTTCAAACACAGGTGTCATGGTGGTAGTGGGTCAAAGCAAGTACCACGGGCGGCTCAAACTCAGCTTACTAAAGACATCCGCATCTCGCTCACAAATCAAGAGAATGATAGAGAAAATCCGCTGTGCAATGTACTATTATATGCTTGACTATAGGGAGACACGGCAAGGACGGAAAGAGATAATGGAAGCAGGTCGACCGACGACGAACAAACAGTACTAGAAAGGAGGAATCTGCCACCAACGCCCAAAGCACTTGCTCATCGCGCTTCCGCTCGAGTCGAGGGGTAAGAAAATAAATCAAGAGAAAAGAAACACAAATCTGGGATAGGGTACTAGATTGGAAGAGAGGGACGGAGGGACGTTCATGGGCATTAGAGGGTTGACGTGGAACGCATTAGTGGCCACGAGAGCGAACGTGATGAACCTCGTCGTCGCCATCGTCGCCGAGGTTTTCTGTCAACTCGACCTCCTCGGCGTATGCAGCACCACCTTTGTGCTCTCCATCCTCGTCGTCCTCGTCCTCGTCATCTTCAGCATTGTCCATGGAGCCTGCAGGGTGAGGAATGTTGAACTTCTCACGCACAACGATGAAGTGCTTCAACAACTTTCTGCGAGCACCAAGGGCGGAGATTCCGAGTCTTTCCAAGGCTGCGTCATCCATGAGGACGAGATCACGCCAGTTCTTGCCGACCAGGATTGGGGTATACTTGTGCAGCCTCAAGGCGCGCATCCATGCGTCAATGTCGGCGAGAAGCGTAGGGGTGATTTCTTCCTCCTTGAGTTGACGGACCTGGCGGGTGGTGGAACGACCTTTCACCATGGAACGGCCACCAGCTCCACCGCGTTGGCCGGGAGAGCGGGTTCCGCCGCGCCACCCAGCTGTTGTGCCGCGAGGGCTGGTACCGGCTGTACCGGGACCGCCAGGCTGACCACGGACACCCATGCCCATGCCCATCTGTCCCATGCCCATGCCGAAGTTGCCCATACTCATACCCATGCGAGTAGGAGTGCCTTGGAAACTACCACCCATGGACGGACTGAATCCACCACCTAGTTGCGCGGCGAGAATTTGAGCTTCTAGAGCATTGTTGGCGGGCATTCCCATTCCTCCGAGAGCACCCATGTTAGGGACGCCGAG